CTCTCTTGTTTTCTGTACTATTCAACAATATTAATATTTTAAGCTGTTGTTTGGAAGAATATAGATATATGAACAAACCTTTGTATTGTAAAAATCCAGTGACCCAAAGGCTGAGAAAAAATGCATAGGTCTAAAATTTGTAGCACTTGAGTTGAAAAACCTCTATGTGTTTGTGATTAAATAGTGCTTATATTCAGTGATAATTTCTAAAAACAATCCAGATTTGTGTGAATATGTTTAATACAACATATTACATGCAACAAAATTACAATGATTAAGCAGAAGGTGGGTATGTGGTCTTTGGACCCCCTTACATAGAGACAAAATATCTATTTGTCTAATTTTAACCTTGGCCCCTGCTGCTGCTGTGTTATCAGACATATTGTTGATGTTTCTCCACCCAAAGCCTGAAGCTGTTTCAGTGTGGTTATGAATTATGTGTTGTCTCACATAATTCAGCTGAATGCTGTTGTGGTCTCCCAAAACAGCATTCTGTTATTTGCACCATCCCCCATTAAAAAGCAACATTTTTCAACATAAGAGCTTTGGCAAGAAAATTGCTAAAAATAAGAGAACAGCAATAACGTCTCATTGTAAAGAAAAACTGGCAAAACGTTTTTATTGCTAAAACATCATTACCGACTTGTAAGAATAGATTTTCCAGACAAAATGAAGTGGCCAAATTACTCTCTGTCAAAGCATTCGAACATGAATGTGCTCATATTTAACATATTTTTTTTTAAAATGTGTTATTTCAGAATTGCCCTGTCTTGTGTTTTATTGTGTAGTGGTATTTTCCAACGGGGGTTGAAGAAATAGACATGTAGGTCATCTTTTTTTTTTCTTCTTTTTACTTTTAAAAGATTTTGACTAAAATAACTTTGAACACCTTATCAAATAGTATGCAAGCTGTTTCAGTATTTCCAAAATGTGAAAATAGATTTTCTGTTGGAAAAGCAGTATTTATTTGAAGAACATTTTCCACACCAAATCAAATTGCAAGTAATATTGACAAAACAGAGTTGCCAGTAATCCTGTGTTTACTTATTTGTTAAACTGGGTCACTGATGCTTTTGCACTTTCCAAGTTAGGAAAAGAGTCACTCAGAGCTCAGAGTACAGTGGAGTAAAGTTTTAGTAAACAAAAACTAAACAAAATGTGAAAAGGAGCAGCTTTGTTGAGAATGTGAGAGCTAACAGAAATCACTAACAAATTCAGTTAATTACTGTGAAATAATTTTGTTATATGTAAGATACATTTTTAACTACTACTGGTTCTTTTGATGGGTTTACATGCACAACATAAATCAGTCAAGTTCTCAACAATTATTCGATCCTGTGATTCAGGAGCAATACTGATTCAGTAACCGTCATATTTGAATGACTATGGGGTTCGTTGTATTGTTTTTGGTTTATTGCTTCTGCTCCACCATGGAGACTGAGGCCAAGCCATTGGCTGTCATCTCACCTGTGCATCATTGCATTATCAGCCAGACTGGATTGTGAGTCCGCTTTAAAGTCTAACTGCCCCCCAAATTTGGTGTTACCAAGCAACCATTTGTTCTTTTGGCGCCTTCAGATGTATCAGAGTAGATTAAAAATGACTAACATTTGCAACAAATCAACTCCAACTAACACTAGCTGTGCATGTTAGTCCCTTTTGACAAACTACAAACAGTAGCTGAATTTTCATTTAGCATAAATTGCATAATTTGATGTTTCGAAAATAAATTTTCTTAATGGAAACACAGCAAATTCTCGTTTTTGTGTGTGCGTGTGCGTGTGCATGTGTGTGTGTGTGTTTTTTTTACATGATGAAGTTTTGCACACATTTGCAATAGAAACACAGCTAGCGTGTTACTAGGTAGACTAGACACTTTATTTTAAGCAATTGTACAATCATTGATCAATAACATTGTTGATGCGATGACTGGATAACACTTTATTTGAAGAGGTGTGCATAAGACTGACATGACACTGTCATAAACATGACATAACATCTGTCATGAACATAAAGAAGTCTTTTTGAATGTTTATGACAGTTGTCATGAAGTGTCAGTTGGTAAATAATAACACTTTTAATGCAAAGTTGTTCTAAAAGTTGCATTAAAAGTCCATTAAAAATGCCAACTTTGCATGATTTTGTAAATTATGTAATTTAATGTACAGTTAAATTCCATTGTTTATATTGCCTACCTTCAGTGGTTATTGAGCAAGAACACTGAACAGGTTGCCAGTCCATCACAGGGCAGCACATAGACATACAAGACAAACAATCATGCATACACTCACACCTAACAGTAATTTAGACACCACGTAACCCGGTGCCTACATTACTAACCTTAGATTACCTTGTGTCTTGAACTAACATGAACTATGCATGTTAGCATATAGTTAGAATATGCATTAGCATGTTATCCATTAACATGTTAGTGCTTCCTCTTGTGGGAGAAAGCAAGAGAACCCAGAAAGAACCCCTACAAGTAGGAAAACATGCCACAGTTGCTCACATAAATTATATTTAACTATGGCTGAATTTATTATATTCATTGTTCCATCTATGCATAATTTGCTTGGCAAAAAATAATTCTCCTTCCCAGGTTTTGCTTCAGCAGAACCTGAAGCTCTCCGATCTGGTCACAATTGGGGAATTTAAAAGTTTGATAAAGGGATTTGAAAATTTGTGTATATTTATCAGTGCACAAAATATAGTGTAGGACGGCTAAGTCCTAGCACAAAAATTTGCGTGATAGGTGCATGGAGCCTGGTGCTGCAAGGTTGGAGACCTTGTCCTGTTAGGCGATGGGGCCTGGATAATACCCGTGCTAAACGGACGGCGGAGTCCGGCGATGACAGGCGCTTAAATTCTGTAACAAAAGTATATTTTTCTCTTTTTTTTTTCTCTTTTTCCAAAATCTCTTTCTCTTTCTTACTGTTTATTCAATGTCACATGCTGTTTTCATTTTGTTTTTTTAATTATGTAAAGCACCTTGAAATGACTTGCTGCTGAAATGTGCTATACAAATAAAATTTGATTGATTGATTTGATTGATCAGTGGGAGCCCTTCTTTTGGTTGTGCATATGGTATTGATTTTTGGTCTAGTGAATTGTACTCAGAGGCGCCGTATAGGGGGGAAAATTTATGACTATTCCAGGGGCCCCGGACAAACAGGGGCACTCCGCGATTTTTTTTTTGTTTGTTTGTTTTTTTGTTCATAGAAATTTAAAAAATTGAGGCCCCGTCAATTACAAAATTAATTATATTGTGTTTTCTAAAATTGTTTTTAGCAGTAAAAATTAAATGTTACCACTCCCAGACCAAAAAGACAAGAATGACTGTGGTAGTTACTATGCTGCTAAGAAAAATAATAAAGTTAGGATTTCAAAAAATAGAGAAACAGAGAGAGAAAAAGGTAAAAGTGTCAATTTGTAACCCAGTTTTTCTCCGAGAAGTGGGTAGACTGTGTGAAATTATCAACTACTTAGCATAGTTAGCTTAGCTATACACTACTGTTTGCCTCCTTTTCATTAGCATTTAATGAATTAAGGAAATAAATTACCAACATATTCATATATTGAACTTGTACCTGTAATTTTTACCACTCAACTACAGATGAGTCAGTCAGCAGCAGCTCTAATTCATGTCATTCCTGACCTGTTCTCTCCTAAGTGAAATTAAAGCTGCAGTATGTAACTTTTATATAAATATTTTTTACACATATTTTTTAAAACTGTCATTATGTTGTGACAGTATGGTATGAGAGGTAATCTGTGAAAAATCTATTTCCTCTGCTTTCTCCTAGTGCTATCTAGAAACAACCAATCAGAGGCATGAGAGTTTTCGAGCTGTCAAGCCACAATGTGGATGCTCTTCCTCCCTCCCCTTGCTCTGTGCTATGCTGTAGCTAGCATAGCCTGCTGTGAATGCTCATTCTAGTCAGTATAGCTACCAATGGCAGCAGATAAACATTTTTCCATTAATGATAAGTTGATTTTCCACCAATAGCACATTTAGCAGTGACTGAATGAGGTTGATTGACAGTGCTAAGACTGTCCTACTAGTTCTGATTGGTTGTTTTTGGTCTGAACATTGCATTACTTTGGCCAGTAATAGTAGCTCAGGAAGGAGATGGAGGAGATTGATTGTTTTCACAGATTATCTGTCTCATAACAAACTGCTACGACATGGTGACAGCTTTAACAAATATGGAGAAAACATATTTTTTATTAAAGTTATATACTGCTACTTGAATAAAATGCAACTACATTGCATTTTTTGAGAAGTCTGGATTACTTCATGCATACTTTACATGTTGCCTATGACTGTTTGTGGGAAGAGACATTTCAGTAAGCTAAAACTAAGAAAAAATTTAAGCAACCTACTTGCGTACTGTATGCAGACTGCTGCATGTAACATTAATGAGCAGTAAATATTGTGCTAGTATCAGTATTGGACCAAAGAAAGCAAGACAGTTGCAAGCCTTTAAAATTGTGACACTTTTGATAGGTCAAATAGACTCAAATAAATTGTAACAGCAGCTGCGCAGGGGGGCCTAATCAAATTTGTTGTCATGGGGCCCATGATTCCTGGCGGTGCCCCTGATCGTACCATAATTGTTTTCATGTTATTGTTGGTGATGTGTTCAACAGGTCTCTTCCAAATGAGACCATGAGTCTCAAGAGATTATCCTGTATAAATAAATGATTAACAATAATAATAAAAAATATTTTAATTTTTGTTTGTGCCCATCAGCCACTTTGGAGGCAAGAATCAAGTTGATCTTTATCAAGGTTGTGGTTAAGAGCCTCTTTCCCCTCATCTGTTTCACAGTTTCTGTGAACAAGTGGAATAGCTGATGCTATTTCTGAATATGGTAATGGTCTAAATATAGCACTGTAGTTTTGAATCTTAGACCACAAAGCTTTAAAAAAAAAAAGCCTGAACAACATCATGAATTCACTCATTTTTACCCTGAGAGTTGCTGCTGACAGTCAGCACCATGAACACTGGAGAAGTCATTTATACCGTGTTGGAAGTCCTCATCGCAGTCTGCTGCTGTCTGGGAAACATGTTGGTTGTTTTTGCTTTGTGGAAAACTAAAGGCATCCGACAACCCACCTTCTGCCTTATTGTGTCTCTGGCTGTGGCTGACTTTCTGGTTGGATTTGTTGCCATACCAATGGCTGTGCTGCTGGATGGACATCTGGAGACTTCATTCCACACATGCCTCTTCATCAGCTGTGTACTCATCCTCCTGACCCTAGTTTCAATCCTGTGTCTGATGGCTATTGCTATTGATCGTTTCCTGCGGGTCTATATCCCTCTGCGGTAAGAATTGTCTTTAACTTTTCACTGAGCACATTTCAATCATTCTGAATACTTACTTACATTTTATTCTCTGAGTTCTGACAGGTTTTCAGCTTGACCTCAGGTTTTTATAATGTCTTTTTCAGAGTACAAAGTAGGAGTTCAATGTATCTAAAGCATTCTTTCACCAGAGCGGACTGATGATGAAAACCAAATCTTTAATTAATTTGGTTCAGAAATCTTTCGTTTATGGTGGATTTCCTGTGATCAGACGTTGTACAAACAAGCTCAAATCTTGAGTCATCTCAGTCACATACTTTTAAGAGCTATCAAAATGTTTCAGTCAAAATTCTAGCTGTTGCATATTTGATAGAGTTAATTAAGATTTATGGTAAAGCTCACTGTTATACTACATTCTAAAGCCAGTCTTGATGTGTGGTTGGATAACAACCATCACTTAGGAATAGAAAATTATGGCCAAGTGTAAACATCGAGTTGCTGATATAAGATTAAATTGAGAAAATACAAGGCTGTTCTGTGTTTTGCAGCACAGTAATACCACTGAGCGCCACCGTGGTGACATTGGAACAGTGTTCTTACATTTGAAAGCCTCACTGTGACCCTTCAAGTCAAACTTCTTGTCATTGTCAACAAGTTGTTCTCTTGTTTGATTGTAAAACTATTCTACAAGAGACATTTGGCTACAAATGCTTGTAAATAAACACTGCAGCAATATCTCGTTGAAACAAGAAACTTTCTTGTTTTAACGAGATATAAGAGTTGTATATCTTGTGATAACATTTATATCTCAAAAAATAAATATAGCTACAACTCCGGAAAAACATTAAGTGACCACCTCAAATGATCAGTTTCTCTGATTTTACTTTCCATGGATATATGGTTGAGTAAAATGAACATTCTTCTTTTATTCTATGAACTACTGACAACATGTCTTTGAAATTCCAAGCAAAAATTAAGTATTTGCAGAAAATGAGAAATGGTCAAAATAACAAAAAAGATGCAGTACTTTCAGACCTCAAGTAAGGCAAAGAAAACAAATTCATATTCATTTAGAAACAACAATACTGATGTTTTAACTCAGGAAGCATTCAGAAATCAATATTTGGTGGAACAACCATCAGGTTTTCAATGGGGTTCAGTGCAGTAGGTTCTTTTTTTTTCCAGAGCTGTGTTTATATGAAAACGAGGCTTAAGTTAAGTATTTGTGTATAATTTTAACTGTATTCATTTAAGAATCAAAATTAAATGGATTAAAGTCTTATTGTTGTTTCACCATTTCACTAAAGAAAAAAAACTGTTTAATTTCCTTGACTGCGTAAAATTCTGACTGGCGCTTTATATCTTTCTTTACAGATACAAACGGACTGTAACCTGGAAACATTCCTATTCTGTTGCAGCTGTATGCTGGCTTGTTGCAGTACCACTGAGTTTTACTCCCATGCTTGGATGGCATAAAGACCCACCTGACTCTGCTAATTCTACAGTTGTTTGCCGGTTCATAGAAGTGATTCCCATGTCCTACTTGGTTTACTTTAATTTTTTTCTTTGCAACCTGATGCCTCTGTTGGTGATGATTGTTTTGTATATATTCTGTTTTATTCATGGAAGACTGAAAGAAAAACCTGGTAATGGTGCTCAAAATCAGTCACACATATACCTTCAGAAAGAAAAACAGCTTGCATCGTCTCTGGCTCTGGTCTTGACTCTTTTTGTGGTTTCCTGGCTCCCTATTCACATTATGAACATCGTGGATTACTTTCGTGGACCAGACACTGTACCATACAAAACTTTCTATGTTGGCATTCTGCTTTCACACGCTAATTCAGCTGTCAATCCAGTAGTGTATGCATTTAAAATAAAAAAGATCAAGACAGCTTATGTGAAGATTTGGAGACAGTTTGTTCTGTGTTCAACAGAAACAGTTATTTGTTGCCTTGCTCGCCAGACAACAGAAAACGCCAGCAGTAACATGAGAAGTGGTGAAAACGACACAACGCCGATCTAACTTTTTCAGTCTCTTTCTTTGTGATGCATGTCACTGAAACGTCAATTTTATGTCAAGTCTTAAAGAACTGTGTAAATTGCATAGAATCCTTGTTTAATAATGAACTGCAGCTTTTGTTGTCACTCTGTTTTCATTTTCTTCATTTTTGTGAACCAGGTGATCTTTGCTAAATTGTATAAATAGCTTGATGATTTTTCACTTAGTTCTGATTTTTTCCAGTTTATTTGAAAATTGACAAGACATGAAACAATGTCAGATTTAAATAGTCATTGCCACTTTTTAGACCAAGACTGATAAATCAAACTATGATGGAATTAACTTCTTCCTCATTGTTAGGTTTTCATTAAATGTTTGCCCATGTAGGGCCACTGCCTACATGGGCCCTACATGGCAGTGTTCCCACATGGGTTTGCCCATGTAGGCCCTGTGTAGGGCCCATGTTTGCGGTGGCCCTACATGGGCAAACCCATGTGGGGCCACCATGGAAACTGTGGACAAACCCATATGGGACCCATATTGTCTGCCCTCCTTTTCCCCATATGGGGCCCACCTAGGTATGCTGGAAGGGATTATATTGCTTTAATTCTTATAAAGCATTTTTGAATTACCCTGTTGCAGGAAATGTGCCATACAAATAAATGAGCCTGCCTTACCTAGACTCCACAGTAATCTGTCGAGGTCATAGGCGTAACTTCCAGAAGGACTGGTGTGGACATGTCCCCACCAACTTTGGCCTAATGGGGACAGTCCCAACCAATATTTCCTTCTATTTTGTACCTGCACCTACGTGCGGACCGTACAGCAGCTGCACGTTGTATTCAAAGCATCAACAGCCAGTTAATGCTTTGTAAAACAAATGGCAAATCTGCTCACTGATCTAGTGGATTGGACATCACAAGACTTATTGTGCGGCCGTGGCAGTGCGCCACATGCATTGTTGCTTTGCATTGAGTCAGGAATATCAGTGGTTGGGAAAATGACACAATCAAGCAAAGAATCTGAAAAAGGGACGAATAGTTTTGATATTAATCGTCAAGACTACGACAGCAAGATAACGAGGTTCAAGTATTAAGAAAATAAATCTAGAATATGCTAGTTTTAAAACTTAACATGTCTTGATTGAAATACCCTAATTATAGTTTTCAGATTAATAACTTAACTGCCCTATTGACCTTTATTTTATCTGTAGTTGCAGCAGATTGTTTGCGAAGATCTTTTTGAAAGTGCCTTTTGTCTGTCTGGGAAACAATCAGGAGAAGTTCCAGCTTTTCACACTCATCTGTGAAAAGCCATAAAACAGCAGGAGTCCAGGCCAGTACAGGAGAGTCTTTGCTTCCACTCTGTTTAGACAAAGGGGACAAATGGCTTTTGATCTTGGAAACAAATTTCAGGGAGTTTCTAACTTTAGAGAGGGTCAGAGACAGCTCCTGATTGGATGAGCAAAGATACGCCTTATTTGAATAAATTAAAAGACAAAAATACGCCTGTTCTGTTTTGAAGTTATAAATGTTGTTTTTTATACAAGATAAAAGGGAGAAAGCCTGCCCTCTCATGTTATTTTAAAGTACTACAACGTAGTAAGTTTTGTTATTCGAAACAAAACTTATTAAACGGTAGAAATAGACGCCGTTGGTGTTCGTTGGTGTAAATTACTGTTGAAATCTTTCATGTATGGTTGCATTGCCGGTATGTATTAAGTTTGTAACTTTGTAACATTGTTTCTGTCTAGCGATAGCGCTCTAATGTGTTGTTTTAAGGTGGAGTATGTTTATGTTAATTAGATGCGAGGATATCGGGAGGTTATCGGGTGCGCAGTTGGTAGCCTAGATGTACGCATATAGATGTGATGTTCGGTAGAAATTGAATGTATTGTATTTTATGCTGCATATGATCACATATTTATTGTATTTTTTGTCTTCATTTCAGTTTTACCCTTTTAATTGTCATTAAACCTGCTGACAACGTCCTTCGGTCTTCAGAGTCGTGACATGAGAAAGGTGTTAGAAAGCCTTTGCATCAGACATGCACCAGTAACGGCACAACGCCTTTACTATAAAAATTTGTGCACGTGAGGAACAAACTAGATTTGCTCTTGCAATTCTCTAAAGACGTCTTTGCTTTTCTTTCTTTCCTTCTTCTTTTCCATTTGTCTCAGGTAAA